AGCCCCCGGCGCTCACGGACCGCCCAGAACTCCAGAACTGATGGACCACGGGTGGTTCCATCGCAGCAATTGCACTTGGAACACAAGGCCCTGCGTGTGAAGGGGCAGAAGGAACGCTGCCAGAACGCTGTGAAGTAACGTACCATTAGTGGTTAATGGTACAGACAGTTCTGCGAAGGTGTGCTCGCAGAACGGTGAACGGGCTTGGCATGATCCCTGCATTTTCTGTTTTGTTTCAGGAATGCAGTAAAAAACAGAAAAATGATGATACACAAAGCACATCTGTTGATGCATTGAGTTCAGACGATGGCTTTGAAGAGGTAATGCTCCTTCTACAAACTGTAATATGCTCTATTTGTATTCTTTTGTTGTTGCTACCCCAAGGGAGGTTATAAGGAGACAACTTTCAAGTCCTAAACATAACAATAATCAACAAGCAGTTGTAAGCAATTTTGAGCTCTTGTAGAGAATGAAAAATCTTTTCAAAAGGTGAGATAAAAGCCCATTTTGAGTATCAAAAATCTTTAAAACAGACACAGAACTCGAGAGGAGTTTTGATAGTAAAAGGGCACAAAATGTCTTTATATCTAAGTTTCTTTCTTCTTGGTGAGCTGCCAATGGTTGTCATAGCAGATGTATGATGCTCTTGATCTCACAGTATATGTTCAATGCAGTTGTAGGACTGTGTTCTGTTTTACCTCATGGTACAAAGCCCAAGCCATCTTGCTGTTAGAGGGGCATCTGCTTAAAGAGGTTTGATAGTTCAGGTAAAAGTTTTCTCAGTGTCTCGGTGAGTTGATGGGGACTGTCAGCTCTGCAGTGCAGTGCAAATGAAGTTACTAGAACGTGGATTAGGGGCTAAATTTAGATCTCTGTTTGCACTTAAACATGTTGCAGTTTCAAAGTAATAGCAAGAGCAGAGTCATGGAAGGGATGGAACAAATTATTTTGATTACCTGTAAGTTCCCTTGGATGTTACACAAATGTCATGGGTTGTCTTCTTTTAAACCAGTGAGAGCATGTTTGCCCTTCAGCTGGCTCATTGCAGAGGTCTTGAAAATCATTTCATTGTTATTAAATACTGGTTTACTTTTTTTCCCCCCCAGAAAAATGAGTTTGATACACTGGCTAATGCTAAAATACTCCTTAGCGACTGCTTAGCTTGTGACAGTTGTATGACATCGGAAGAAGGAGCCAGAGTTTTCCAACAGAATCAGAAGGAGTTCTTTCGTGTTCTCAACCTTAATAAGGTAAAGTGACCCAAACAATAGCACACAGTTTTCTGGGAGGAGGAGGCAGTTACAGAATGACTAAGCAGCTTGGTTTCCCAAGGCAGATAATGTGAAGATTTGTCAATATATGCTTTTTCCAAAGAGGAAGTGAAAACTTGAAGCGAGATGAATGATAAAGTACTTAAAATCATTTTGCACTAGAGATGTGAGGTCACAGCATTTAACCTAAATGCTGGAAGGAAGTTACTGCACCTGCAGAAGGAAAATTTATTTGAAATGTAACTCCCTCATTACTGTACTAACAAATTAGTCTTGTAGTTCAATATTTATAGATATTCCTACCTTTATTACTAGGACTGTTCGGGGTGGGGTTGGTGCCACTGTATCCACATAACATAAAGTTAGGAAGACATCTTATTGAAAGTAGAATTGTCTTTAATATATATATGACCTGACTATATTTGGAACAGAATTTTTTGTCCAAATTCTTAGCAAAACTTAGAAGTGTTCTATTGCTGTCTTATTTTCTGCTGACTTTTTTTTTTTTTCTGGAAGCTAGTTGCTAAGTACTGTGCTCAGATTTTTAGGACTTGATACTGAATTAATTATTTTAGTTCTGCCCCAGACTTCTGTGTCCTTACTTGGTGTGCCAAAGCTACCAGAATTGAAGCTTTTTCTTGATCTGTATATAAGTGTCATAATTAAGAGGATTCACTACACAGTACTTAAATTTTCTTAGGAGTTCAATTCTCCATACAGTATGATGATGTCATACATGAAAAAAATTAAGAAAAGGGGGGAAAAATAATCTTTTGGGTCACATTAAGAGAGCCTGAATTGTCCAATAGGGAGGCAGCCATTTACCTTTATCAAACTTCAAGGGTCCAAAGGAGGATAGTGAGCCAGAGGCTCAGCTGTGAGCTCTGAGTTGTGAGCTGTCCTTGGGAGGTCAGTACACAGCATGTAAGTACAGACTGTGGTCTCTGACCTTTGCAGGGTGAAACTTGTCTGTGGCACAGTCCAAGGTTCCACTGGTGTGGAAAATGACCCTGCTAAAACACAAGATTTGTCTTCACCTAAATGCCACAACCATCAGAGCTGTACAGTTCCACACCACCCAGGGTATTTTCAAAGGGTTCCTCAGTGCCTACAAACCCTGGTTTGTTGAGGGTCCCATCTTGCCACTTTCCCTCAGCAACTTAAGTGATAAAGA